GAAATAAAGATTTTCTTGTGTATCTTCTGAATTGTAAGAGCTACTTAATTACCACTTGACCCATACATCCAGTAGATGTTTTTGGATTTTTCAAGAAAAAATAGCATCTGACTAATATTTTTAACATTTGCTGGGCTGTTAAGGCAAGTAAAAATACACTAAACATGTCGACGAACAGTTTTCGTCGACAAGATTTACATAATACTATTTCGTTAAAAAATCATTCCCTTTTATATTAAAAAAAAAACAGTTGCAATAATTGACAAACAAAACGACACATGCCAATTTATTATTGTAAGTAATAATTTGTAACTCTTTTTTTATGGTTTATTTTCCGTTAAACGGTTCAATTTACTAATAGGGAAAAGAAAGATTATGCATCTGTTATGGAACAGCTTATGGCTCAAGGACATATCTGAAAGATTTCCTCAACGGTGCCTCACTTGAGAACTTTTGTAACAAACAGTTTCAAGAGGTCTATAGTCGTCACAGGAAGAACAGCTCAAATTGAGGAAGATGTCCTAAGCGAAATTGGGAACACACAGAAACCATTACACCTACTGAAACTATGAAATAACTCAGGATTTGAACATTACTCATGTAATAATTTGGCAAATTTTAAGAGAACAACTGCTAGATCTATATCACATGCAATATGTGTAAGCTGAGTGTGCCTCAGGTCTTGTTAACGGATGAAGCTTCTTTTTGTCGAAACTCATCTCCCTGAAAAGTTTCTTGTCAATACTTGGGTTAAAATTGCTAGTGATCGCCTCATAGAGCCTTATTTCCTTCCAATTAGCCTTTAATGGTTTTTAGAGTACATTCTACTTGAATCTTTAGACAAAGATAGGAGAAAGAAATCGTATGTGGTACATCATGACAGTGCTCTACCAATTCAGTCTACTCTAGTTTGGATCAAAATTATGGTAATCAGGAAGAGAAAACCCACAACCATTGCCTCCTCGATCTTGCCATTGCCTCCTTGATTTCTTTTCGTTTTTTTTGGACACCATAAATTATTAGTGTACAAAATTCCTTTTTGGAATGAAGAAGACCTACGGAACAAAATAGTTGATTCATGTGCAATAATCAAGAATACACCAGGTACTTTCTAGAGAGTCCGTAATTCGATGATGAGGTAAAGAAATGGTTGCTGTGAAGTCAAAAGGGGTAATTTCCAGCACTTAATTTTGTGAATTTTACCTGCCTTAAGCGCCCAAGACCTAAATTTAAAAAGTCAGTGGTGTGCTATTTATTTTCTCATGTAAAATTTGAATCAGATTTTATAGTCACAGTAGAATAAAAAATAATTTAATACTTGCAACATTCAGTCTTCAAAATTCTATTAGAGCAGTCCAAGTTTTAATTAAGTACCTCTTACTATTCAGAAAATATTTTTTTTTTCAAATTTTAACACACTGTAACAGAGCCATTGCGCACTCATGTTTATGAGGACAACAAAAAATGTCTTCCTTACAGTTCCTACACGTACTTAATTAACACCCTGTACATTAACAAATTCTAGAAATAAGTACCTATATACTTTACATATCTGGTGGAAGTGGTTCTGCGTTGAAATAAAAATGAAAATCCACTCTGCACAAACACAACTCGGTTAATTCTTCATTCATTACGACGTAGTAATTTCAGTTACAAGGACTTTAGAAAAACACTACGACAGTAAAAACTGAAACAAGTTAACGAAAATAAGAGCAAAATGAGTTAATTGAAAGAATTATATAGCTGCTCAACGGAGATGACAGGGAGTTTTTTAAATTGCGGATGGGTATTTCTGGGACCACCGCGCCGCGCCGGTTTTATTTTAAAAAGCATAGAAATGAAAGAAATTGAGGAAACCGAGAGAGGCACACAAGATATGGAGCAGAAGAAAGATGGGAATACTTTAAAAATGTCTGAGTTCTGAACACTTACAGCCTTTGAATTATTTATATTTAGCAATTTGAACTGAATATGATATTTTATTCAAATTAATATGTATTATTCCATACATATGCGTATTATTGAAGACTGTCAGGAATATGTATGTTTAAAAATATTCGTGTCATATATAGACCGAATTAAAATAAAAATAACTCAATTTACTTTCAAGTCAAACTAAATACTTTAATTAATACAATATGGACATATATAATATAGGTATACAGGGTGTTCTCTTAGTAAGGACATCCCTTACGTCCATTAACTTACAGGCTTCTCTTCTTTGGATTTAATAAATTAATCCTTTAGAGCTATTAATTCTGAGAGTTAATGCTGATTTTTTAAATAATATCCTCAAAAAAACCATAATTTTTCTTACTTTTGCTCTTGGTCTTCGTGACAATACTGAATAAAATATGTATATTGTTGAATCTGTTGAATTATCTCTGCTAATGATTATCTATAAACCAATTAAGATTATTTTTTCCTTTAATCGGTGTTTTTGGCCCGGTTTCAAACATTGTACAAATATATTTTATTTATTTCTACTAGAAATTAAATGCTTTTTTCTGTCGTAAAACCCAATTAAAACAGTCTACCCGAAATATTTTCAATGCAACAGGTTTTTCCGGAAAACCCCGAAATAGGTCGATTTTGCTTTCAAGGGGGACATCCTTTTGATCATAAATTCAAGGATGTAGGGTCATTCCTCTAAACGAGGTGGGAACCCCTTCAAGATTGTTAAATGTCACGAGGAGTTAAGTGGCACATCATGTTAAAAAACTTACCGGATAATGAAACTGGAAAAAATGAGGTTTATTATCGAAGTCTTGATAAGGTGGTGGGTTTTATTAGAATTTTACATGTAGTCTTTCTTGAATTCTCGAACAACTTTGTTAAATACAGTTTTTAAAGAAAACAAAAATTAAAGACATTTTGCTTAGGTAAAATTTTACATTTTGAAATTTTTTGGACATCCTTTATGTTTTATTTTATTACATATTTGATTACTGCCCATGGCTTCCCAAGATAAGCAAAATTTTGTATTGTGCAAAACCATACTTATCGTATCAACTTCAACGTCACCTGTTACGTGGGTGTTGTATAATAATGAAAACGTAATATTGACAGTTGGTAGAAGGAAGCGTAAAAATCAAACGCTTAGGTGGGGAATTCTGGAAGGAAGAGTATATAGTTGAGGTGAGAACAGCGCAGTGTGGAGAGTGAAAAGTAAGACGATCGGTGCACGGTGAAAATATATAAATAGTGAAAAATTAAAAGTGTTTAACCGGTATTAGTTAGCAGGAAATTATTCTCTAAGTACTTTGTTGTTAATTGTTCTATGTAAGCTTATGCTTGTGATGATTATAGATGTTTCATGATAAAAATTCTGTATATGTTTAGCCTTCATTATCTTACGCTCAGGGGCGTATATTTTTCTAACGTAAGATTATTTATTACATGTTAAAATATGTATATATTGTCGTGACTGCCCTGATATTGCAATAACAACTCCTTTGTTTCACATTTAACTTGTTTTGTCATGATTACGTTGTTCGAAAAACAAGTAATAAAACATTGCTTGTGCTCACTTTATGTCAAGACGCATATAAGGGCTTTGTTGAATTCACTAACATTTTCGCTCGTGAGGCACGAATCTGAAAAAAAGAATATATAAATACAAAAAAATAATTGCTAAAACAGATCTTCCGAAATCTCAACTATAGCTGGATTGCCTCCCGTATGGGACTCCAGTACCTTCCGGCCCTGCCGGCTAACTAACACCAAACCTCTTCAGTTTTACTTGTAAGTGTGTATGTCTGATTCGAGTGAGGTGACATTTAGTGACACATTAAATAAGTCAGGTCTTAATTATCATTAGCAAAGGATCTTAATTTATGCCTTTTGTTAGCGGTTGTTTTGCATTTATATTTGGGCAGTTAGAGCAACGATCGTGGGTTTCTCTGCCATGCTCTTTCCCCACAGGAGATCTAGGTGAGCCTGGCACTCTCATTTTATGTTAAATTATTGTTAATGTTTTTGTTGTTCTTTCTATTTGTCTCATGTTTAATTTCAAGACTGTAGTACGTAAATAATAAAGTTAGGTGTATTTACTCTGCTTTTGTTTTTATAAAATTAAACCATACTTCCCCTCTTTAAAGTTAGTAGCCAGCGCCTTTCGGTCAATTAAAAATAGATGCATACAACGTAGGTACTCCTCATGACGATCACATATTTTTGGCCACAACTACGTTTACCATTTTTTTTTTCGATCGAACCTGGGGTTGTTATACTACAGTATCAGCAATCAACAATCAACAATAAAAAATTTACAATAGTGCGGTTCGGGGGCACACTGTGCTTGATTTATACGAATACCTATGTAATTTACAGCATTTTCTGTGAAAAAACACTCTGTATGGAGAATTGACAATTAAATCACAGACAATGTAGGTAGCTGAGCGAAGCTATCTTGTCTGTGATGAAACTATGTTTTTCTGGAGAATGTTTTTGTGTAAATAAATGGTCGAAGATAAAAGTGGTAACTTCACTAGAACAAAGTACGAGCTGTTTTAGAGTCCTGATTTTTTTATATTAAAATGAGCTTATAGCATTTTTTTAGAAACATAATTTTATGTATAATTAATGTGTAAACTTCAGAAAATCATTGGTCTGGAAATTATTAAGAGCTGTATCCTTACAAAATGAAAAACAAAACGCACTACGGACCATGTTCATATGAAACATTTTGCTTAAAATAATTTATTTTATTACCTAGTGAAGTTTAAGTCTCAAAACATGGATGGAAGTTTTAAACAAAATAAATTTGAAAAGAGATTCCTGAATTTTGACTATATTTTTAAAATCTGAACGATCAAAATCGTTTACCAAAATATGCTTTCTTTAAGACTCATCCTTCTTTGTATTTCTTTGAGAATAAGAATGCTTACATGTATTATGTATTGCAACCACAATTTGAACTGTTTGGGGTTGACAACTCGCCTCAATGATAAGCCTATCGTAACGCGAAAGCAACAAGAAACCAAGGAAACGGCATTTACCTTCGTCCTCCTGAGCTGACGTTTGCCTTTGTACCACGTGATGATGGCGGCGGGTCGGGATCCTGCGGATTCGCAGGTCACTTCGTATCGCTTATCGGCGACCAGGGGGCTTACCGTCTTCAGGATCCTGGCAGTCAACGGCTTTACTGCAACGGAACAGGGGTGTTGAGTTGTACGTATATCTCTCGGCTAATGGGAAAATAAACGGTGTTTGTTTTTATATAACAATAAGACGAATATAAGAACGCGGTTAAATATGTGTAATTAAATACGGAAAGCTTGAAATAAAATACGTTATTATTGATTCATTCATTAATATTTATGTGAGCTTTCTTTATATTACGAGTAGAGAGTAGTAGCAAAAAGGTAGTGTATATGAAAGATCATCATATCATAACGATGAGTAAATTGGAAATAAATACATTTAGACAATATAAATATATTTTATGGAACGTACACTAGAAACAAAGAAAATAACAAAAGTTCTGGAGTTAAAATTTGATTTGAATGAATAAAATGATCTTCCTACGTCCGTTGCTCAAATGAAATCAGTCAAATTCTAACGTGCAAAACAAATTTACTCAAATTTTTAATTCAGTTAAATAAATTACCTCCTAGGAAATATTTAACAAACACTATATACATAATACATATATCTCGGCATACTAAATCTTGGAAGCTATTAATCATTGATCTTTGTTTCTGTCTTTCTTTGTTCTCTGAGTGTAGTGTCTTTCAAGTGTACCTAGAAGAAAAAATACTTTGTTGTGGACAAAATTATACTTCTACAAAAAGTATATCCTGCTACAAATATGTCCATCAAGTGAAAACTAAGTACCAACCTAAAATGTACGATTTACTCTCGGATATTAGAGCAAAACGTACATTTTATATTTATTACATGACATTTTATTTGAACATTTAATTCAAAAACGGGAACAGAAAACTTTAACAGAACAATTAACCTGTCTAATAAAAGTGCTACTTTCCTAGAAGTCATAGCAAAAAAAGCGAATATGTTCATAAACGTGAAGAGTACTTCATCTATCTATTATTTTTTATCATGTATGTACCTTGGAAACATTAAACTCGATATTAACATTAAACACTATGTGAAAATGTAGTAACTTTTTAAATTTAAAAGTAAATTAATTTATTTTTGACCCTTACTTCTTTAATATATTTGAAAAATATACACTACTTACTAATGCGAAATGACATACAGGGATGGCCAGAAGTATGGAATAAAATTCATCTTTTGAATGAATTTTTTTTAAAACGCTGAAACACGTTAACTGGTTTTGATTTTTTCCCATCTTTCGGTTATATAATAATTAATTTTTCTTCAACCCCCTAACCCCCAGCTACCCCTACTTTTTCTCAAATCGAAACATAAGGCATGAGGGGGCTCGTTGAAAAGCTTATAGAAAACCGAATCCAGCCATACCAAATAAACAAGTTTTATTTTTTCAATAGCAAGGTTTTTAGGGTTGTATAAAGCACCTACTTAACAAGTGAAATAAAATTATCTTCCATGAATTTGCACAGAATAAAATAAAGAATTTGAAACTGTACCTATCGCTGCTAACGCAAAAAAGATATATTTTTCATGTTGCGTTTTTTTGGCACCACTTACTTGCCAGGCTTTCTGGTTAATTTTTCGCTTTAGTTGTAAATTGGAGTCCGAAACGTTACTATTGTGTTAAAATCAATTTATTTACTGAATCGCAATGGTATTGTCGGAAAGGCAACGCATCAAAATCTTGATATTGCTTGGATGTAGAGACAAAATAAGAAGTCATGCGAAATATCCCGAAAACCAAATCTCGCAAGTGACAGTAAAATATTTCACAAATTTGAGGAACACGGTACAGTACAGACTTTGCCCAAAACTGGACGGGCACGTGCTTTAAATGAAGAAAAGAAATTAGACATTGCATTAGAACTTGTTGAAAATCTTCATACTTCAACTGTTTCATTGGCCCGCAGTCACGATGCTTCTCGAACTGCAATCCGAATGTTTCTGAAACAAGGGAAATACCACCCCTATTAGGTATTCTTGTCCAAGAGCTTTTGGAAGACGATTATGATAGGCGATTATAATTTTGAGAGGAAATTATGAAACGGTGTGACGACAATAATGGTTTTCAACGAGACGTACTTTTTTCGAATGAAGCTACGTTTTATTTAAATGGAGTGGTTAACAGGCACAACTATCGCTTTTGGTCCCAGGAAAATCCACACTGGACATGCGAATCGCATATGCAGCATCCACAAAAAGTTAATGTATGGGCAGGTATCATCAACAACAGAATTTTGGGCCCATTCTTTTTTGAAGAAAATCTTACTGCCGCACGCTACCTGGATATCCTAACATTTGACCTGATATCTGCTCTAGCTACGATTTTCCCTCATGAAATTGATCCAGATATACCGAATGAAAGAATTTGGTTCCAACAAGATGGCACTCCCCCACATTTTGGTATTGATGTTCGAAGATACTTAGATGAAATGTTTCCAAATCGCTGGATTGGTAGACGGGGTACAGTTGAATGGCCGCCAAGATCTCTTGACTTAACACCCCTGGATTATTTTCTTTGGGGATATTTGAAAGAAAGAGTTTACCAGGACAGACCGGATAATATTGAGAATTTAAAGAACAAGATTAAGGTGGAGATGCATAATTTACCAGCTGAAGTCATTCAGAATGCTGTGGACAGCTTTGACTATCGTCTTGGAGAATGCCAAATAGTGAATGGAGGACAGTTTCAGCACTTGCGACATTGAGTTTATTTTTGTAAATTATCTATTCCATTTGAAAAAAAGTAGGGGTAGCTGGGGCTTAGGGGGTTGAAGAAAAATTAATTATTATATAACCGAAAGATGGGAAAAAATCAAAATCAGTTAACGTGTTTCAGCGTTTTAAAAAAAATTAACTCATTCAAAATATATGAATTTTATTCCGTACTTCTAGCCATCCCTGTATATATTGTATAGGATAATAACTCTGAGTCTACTAATGGGTCTTTAATGTAGTATTACAACTGTGACAATTGTCCCCTTGCCCTTCTCAAACGGCGACCATCTTCTCAGTACACATATTTCGCTTTTATTTCGTCCGCATATTGTTAAAAAAACATTAAAATACTCTAAAGAAGTTTTATTAGAAGCTCCTAGGAACACTTTGTTGCTGACAGAAATCGTCATATTATTTTCTGTATAATGATTGTGCATTTGTTGTATGTCGCTAAAATGCAATAGGTAGATATCAATTTTTACAGTTATAGACAATTGAGTATTTCGGAGTATTCAAGATCAATTAAAATTAATTATTTTTACTATGCAATTTGCTCTATGAAAAGATCGGTATGTATTGAGATATGACCCTCTAAATACTGGATATCTCTAAGGAATGGTGTTTGAAATATTTGAAAAGGTGGACATCCTTCTGTAATAAAATCAATTCCGCAATTTCAGTCCCCTACGATAAGAAAACGACTTGTACCTGATAAGATCAATTCTGACACATGTAGTATCTTTTTTTAATTATTGATGGCAAATGTCATATCACAAAAAGAATACTAATACCTCTATGCTTTAGTTGTGAAACAAGCTTCTGTTTATATTTTGCTAAAATGTGACGGAATTAATAAAATTAAACAAAATTTTCCCGTAACTTTTTATAATAATTAGTAAATACTAAAATTTACTTGATCTGTGCATAGATTTAGTTTTAGTTTTAATAGATATTTTTGACTTCGTAAACCATAACTTATTGGAGTATTTTTGGCAAATGGACACAAATTAATTTTCAACTCAATGGCACCTTGTTTTTATATTTTTTGTTCAAAATAAAAATTATGATTAAATTTTTAGCTTTAAAATAAATAAAATAAATATATTTATTTTTCTAATTTTTGTTATTACAAACAAATTTTGGCAATGTTTCCCTAAAATTGAAAATAAAACTACTTTTTTCTTCAGCTATTACACAGTTTTTATTTTATAAACAAACTGAATCTAAATTTATATGTGATAAGTTTGTAAAATTATTTACTTTACTATATACTTCATAATTTAGTGCTGAGCTCTGCACCCGTGAATAAAGGATTTTTCAGCTGTCATTTTAAATCCAAAATTATTTTGTTTCTACTACGTGTAGGTACGTTATGGGTGTGTCCATATAAGTAGAATTTTTAAAGTACACGTAATTAATTCATTTTGTTTGAATAAACATTTCGATCTAATATACAAATATCTATTATCCTTGCTTATGTATAATATAATTAGACAATTATTGAAACTTAGGCTTTAAGATACTAGATGGCGACTCGTGTAAAATCCTTTTCATCCTTATTTGTACTAGGAACAACTGAAGTTTCAATAGTTGTGTTATTACGTTATATATTATTATTTTATGCTGCGTGATGATGACAATTAAACAACATGAATTATTATTTACTTTTACTGGAATACATATTAAAAGATGTATCTTGTAGACTGAAGAAAAAAAATGTTATTTGCATAAATAACTAAGTATTTTCTTCTATAATTTATGTCGGTCTGAGAATGTTTAGTAAAAGTAATACAGAGGGTTACAGAATGACTGAAAGTGACTTCATGCATAAAAGTCATCTAAACTAGTTTCTTCGTATCAAAATTGCTTTCTATTGTCAAAAATATTACTTCGACAGATTCTCCCAGCATGCCCCCAGCCAATGATAGCAACGTATCAGTGTCAGTGTCACAAACTGGGGCAATAAAAAACAGTGAGTGATGGGCACATAAAATATATTTAGAGAGCGGTACGTTCGTTATGCCATTCAGGATTTCTCTGAAGTATGCAGAGTGTGCCACGAAGACCTACATTTAAATATTTTTATGTGAGGTTTCATTGAAAATCGGCACAATGGAAAATAAAAGGCCACTTTTTTTCTTATACAAATGTTTGTTCTATCAGAATTATCACCAAAAATAAAAGAGTTATAAAAAATGTTAACAATAAAATTAAATTCTCTCTTCACACAGGTATTTTCAGTACATATTTATTAAATTATGTTTTATAAAATTGCATAAAAAGTAACGAAGCACATCAAGCTGTTTAATATAGGTTTTATCGAAAAATGGAAATGATTAAAACGCCCGC